GCCCAAACTATTGCAGTCCATCCCAATTTCCCACCACGACGGGCTCTACTCTGGCCGACTTGGGCCTCCGCTGGCGGCACCTCCCCGCCCCCGCGCTTCTTCATCCCACTACCACACCCAACGCGCCAACGGCGCGACCGCTCTGTCCCTCCATGTTGGCTCCAACGCCTGCCGTCTTCCCAAGGCGTCTGCGGCACGTGCCTGCATCCCCGTCGACCATGCCGGCCCTACGGCGCGAGCCCGGTCTTGACCGGAGCCATCCGCCCGGCGGCACGTGGCCAGATCAAACAGCCGCTCTTGCGACCATAGCAAATTCGCCCACCGCGCCAGCGCGCTGTCGTCACCGGTTGACCCCAACCCCGCCCGATGCGCCCCATGCCCGACTTCGACAATGACGCGAGCGGGCTTGACCTCAGCCCCTCCGGGGCCATCCGCCGGGCGGCACGTGCCCGAACCGGCCACCCACCACTTCCTTCTTACCACCATGCGCAATGCGCCAACCACACCAGCGCCAAGTCCCTCGATCCCGCCGCCTCCACAGCCCTCTGTCTGCTGCCAGAACGGGTGTCCACGCGCCCAACTGGCCGTTGACCGCCGTCTACAACGCCATTAGCAACGACAAACGCGCCCGTTGACTGTGCGCCAACCTTAACCAAACGCACGTCTGGCGCGGCACGTGGCTGGGAAGAGCTCTACGGTACTATGCCTGCCTTGTCGTTTCGACCAGCGCAACTGGCGCTATCAGTCGGCCTCGATCTCGTCAACGCGTTAAGGCGGGTCGGCCTCACCAACTTGCAGTCCTGTGCGACAGCGCTGTCTCGGGAACCTCACCAAAACGTGACTCCGCGACCATTCTTTTCCTAAAACACCTCTGCAACGATCCTTTCCTGCTCGGATTCAACACTAGCGAGTAAGAGCAACGGACACGCACTTTGGACGCCCTTCCTGCATTGTCTCCGTGCCAGTTTCGAGCCCGCGGTGCCGACCCGGCGGCACGTGCCTGAACCGGCCAGCAAGAGCTTTCATCTTAGCACCATGCAAAATCGCCAACCACGCCTGCGCCAAGTCCTCGCGACCTTGCCGCCTCCCCAGTCCTCTGTCTGCTGCCAGAACGGGTTGTCCGTACCACACTTGCAGTTGCTTGCGCGAGCGCTATCAGCCGACCTCTGCGCTACCTCCTTCCCCCAAACGCCATCAGCTGCTAGTTCTCCACTACCGACCTCGATGGACCCGTTGGCTTGGCGTTGCATGCTTGAACTGGGCGAGACTTCCCTCCGACACTGCCGATGCTCCCTTAACGCGTCAATCTTGGCTGTCGTGGGCAGTGATCGAGGGGTCTGGCAGCGTTGCGAGCGAGCGAGAGAGCCCTGACGCGGCTTTGGACCCTCCAGCAACGCCCTCGGTACTGTCTGCTGGTGCCTCCCCCGACACCCATTCTGCGCGGGAGGTCGGTCTCCATCACCAACCCAGTCGTGGTTTGGCAACAACGGCGGTGTTCACGGCGAAGGCTGCAACCCGGGAAAGGGATCGAGTCGGGCGGAACTATGGCGGGAGTGGTTGGCAGTATTTGGCCTACAACTTGCCCCGCTGTCTGCCAACAGCCCCTGGTGCGGGTTTGGACAACTCTTCCCCCCGACAAACAACTCCTTGCCCTCCGCGACACCCATTCTGCGGGAGCTTCGTGGTCTGGCGGGACAGCAAGGACATCGACAAATGGCGCTGTTCTGCAACGCGGGGATGGTGGAGTTGGTTGGGACGGCGACTGGGCTGGTTTGACGGGGATGGAGTTGGTGGTGGGGATCGGGATCGGGAAGTGCACACGGGGATACGCGTTTTTTACGCGTTTGGACGCGTCGTTTACGCGTATCTCGCGATGCCAGAGGAGATACACCCGTATTTTACGCGTTGTAGCGTCGCGTACCTTGAAAAAGATGATTTTTTTTTTCTGTAACGTAAGACTTGAGGGTATATAACCAGAGCCCTCGCGAGCCTTAGCGAGCTGCGAGCCTTTGCGATGGGTGAGTAAAGCGTTGAGGTGGATGCGGGAGGGTAAGGCTCGCTGCAGGTGCTGGCCTCTTTCCTTCCGGCTGACGAACCTAAGTTCAAGGCGACTCGCGACGAGTTGACGGCTGTTGGGGTTGCTGATGCCCCGACCTTTGCGCAGAAGAATCGGAACTTCAGCGCGCTCATGGCGAATTATCCCATTCTCTCGCAGGTGCTTACTCTCCCGCGTCTGCTGGTCGTCCTCCGGGCGACCCAGCCCCGTCGCTATTCGATTGCGAGCAGTCCTCGGGTGAACGCGCACGTGGCCAAGTTGTGTGTTGGCGTGGAAGACCCTCGGGTTGTGGCCCACGACCATGCTGGACTGTGCTCGAGTTTCTTGAAACGCATCGCGGTCGGACATGCGGTTTGGGCACGGCCCTGGGCGTCGCAGGAGACCTTCCATCTCCCCGACGACCCGACGGTCCCCATCACGATGGTTGCCGCCGGGACAGGCATCTCGGCCTTCCTTGGGTTTTTGGTGGGGCTGGATTCCTTGCTGCTTGAATAGCTACTGATTTCTATAGGAACATCGGCGCGCACAAGGCTACAAGGTCACCGAGACCGCGCCCTTCCGGCTTTACTACGGCACGAGCTACCACGACATGTCCCGCTTGCGCGCGCTTGTCGCCGGGTTCGCCCGCGGACAGCACCGTCCTGCTTGAGGCGGTGTATTCGGAGGAGGAGGACGCGCCGCCGGTTCGCCCAGCAGCTGCTTACGCGTGACGCGCTGAAGGTCTGGGTCGACCCTGTGCACGGGGGGCACGTGTATGTCTGCGGCTCGGCGACCCGGGTCGGGCAGGGCGTGCGGCATAGCCTGATGAGCATTGCGGAGCAGGTCGGCGGCGTTTCTGATCCGGAGGCGTGGCTCGCGACGTTGCGGAAGGAGGGCCGGTACAGCGAGGACGTGTTCGGGTAGATGGTACAGTGCTCCCAGCCGTCAAGGCTGGGAAATATTTTGTAGATTTTTTGACTATTTTTGTTGAACTCAGGCGCCCAAAATACGACGTTTTATGCCTCCAATCTTAATTTTCCCACGCTTGTTTCACTTTCCCAGGGTCGGATCTCGGACCAATGGCGTCGTGAGTATTTTGATGTTGTCTCTAATCAATTTTCATCAGGTTTCCGTGAACAGGCTGACGGCTCATTTCCGACTGCCAAAAAAATTGGTGCCCGAGTGTCTTGACGCAATTTCTATTGACACTATTTGGCACTTCTTTCGACACTGCAATCGTTATCGAGACGCATATCGCTATGGGCTCAACCCTCGTCAAGCAGCATATGCAGTAAAAAAGTATTCATCTCATCGACGGGTCCCTCGGGCCATCATGAGTGATATTAATATGAGGAGGGATAAGGCCGCAAGCGGCAGGTGCTGAACCTTACATAATAAGCCAGGGAAGACCGTGGCCAGCTGCCGCCAGCACCACGTGATATGACGTGGCTCGTCCCAAAAGGGTTATAGAAATGCACAGCCATTCCCGATATGGGGGGCTGGTTTCAACATGATTCTATAGAGCCAAACCTTAGGTTCGGCAATTATTAATCGTGCATAGATAGCATAATTGGTAGTCTCGATTCCAGACGTTCGTGAGCAGCAGGCGAGCAAAGCTTGCCGGAACAGACGCTTGACGTTGCCGGGGTAGTTTTTGATGGGAGGGGTGATGGAAAAGGCTGCTCACGAACATCTGGTGCAAATTGATCAGAGATGTTGCGCATGATTATATCTGATGACGTACATTTACTGATTGTCACCTTGGAATGGCTCAGTGGTGGCCTATAAGCCTCAGAGTTCCAATAATTTGTGGTGTATACTCAAGGCAAGGGTCTCTCAAGCAGCTTTGCAAATTTTCAGCAGCCAATTTGCATGTTATGGGCCTTACATTGGCCAATGATGTCAAATAACATAGTGATGAAAAGCTCAGTCAAAGATGCTGGAGATACCATTTTTTCTTGTAGGAATAGGTGTACGGAGAGATTGACTAAGTAAATCTACCCCAATGGGGTCAGTAAGGCTTTAACAGCAAGAAAACCAGGAATTTTGGTTAGTTTGAGAAGCAACTGATAAGCATGCGCAACCCGCCTAGTGTTGCCGCGAGTCGAGTTTGAGTTCAACTCGAGTTGATGGCTCATCAGCCAACTCGCGAGTTGACTTGGCTTGGCTGCTGATCGGCCAAGACCCAGGCATGGTAGACTAAGACTGGGCATCCAAATAATCCAATGTCATTTATGAGCAAGGCTGGTGCCAGGTCAGTGGGGCAAAGAGGGCTGAGATTGGCATAAGTTGATGTGTAGACATGAATTTTGGTGGCTATTGTGAGGGAGAGGCAGGACCTGCAGGCTGGCCCCCAGCCAGTATGTTGACAGTGATGTGGGGTGACGCGATGACGAGCCATCAACAAGTCGAGTTAACTCGTTCCAAATTAGGAACGAGTCGAGTTGCGCTCGACTCGTCGCCGAGTCAACTTCGAACTCGCGGCAACACTAAACCCGCCTGGTTAAATGGCACCAGATCTTTGAGGGCTGATTTCTCTGGCGTGATGGGTGATGGTACATCCCCGCATCATGTCCGGCATGTCCCCACTGCCCTTGAACGATCTGGGACCAAGAATACATAATTGGAGTCATTCGACAACTTTTTAACCGTTCTGAGCTCTGTTTGCGACTGAGAGACAATGCCGGGCCGTGCCGAACAGCTTTCCCATGCACATTTCACTTTTTCGAGGGCGGAAAAGTGTAGCCTTCACCAAATCCTCAAATCACTGGGTGCCTATAGCATCGAGCTAAGCTTGTGTAGTGTCTATTGCACTGCTCTGATACATAGAAAAATACAAATGGAAAAGGTTTTTTGTCGGGGACTTTACATGACGTGACAGAAGGTAGCAAAGAATTAAATTAGACGCCGTCACATGACGTGCCTGATTCGCTCCCACGCGTGTGCGACTCTGACGGACACTCCGATGCAGGCAGAGACGCTGGACCCGCGACGCGAGGCGGCGGCCAAGTTTGAGGTGTTTGACGGCGGCGGGAACAAGGTCACGTTCGGCTCGCTCTTTGCGGAGCAGAAGACGGTCGTGGTGTTCATCCGTGCGTATGCGGCCTCTCTCGTTGTTGAGCTTAATGGTGGGCAGGCCATTTCTTCTGCGGGGTGAGTGCCAGTTAGACACATGCCTCATTAGCGAACCTCTGTCAGTCCTGCAAGGTGTGTCCTCTGAACCCCACCCAATGGTGCTGATAAGATAGATGTACGTTGAAGACCTGGCGCAGGTCCCCCGGGGCGGCGCTTGCTGCTGCGGGCACCCGGATTGTGCTGATCGGGTGCGGCGACTGGGCGGCCATCCAGGCATACCACGGTGTGTAGCAGCAGCAGTCGTCTGCGAGTTGGGCTCATCTGCGCGCAGAAATGACAGGTCCATCACCGGTCTTACATAACCCACGCTGACTGTCGCAGGTTGGGCGGGCGCGATCTCACGCGGACCCGACGCGCTGTACACGCATCTCGGGCTCGTGGACAACCTCAAGGTCACGCCCAAAGACAAGGCGCGGCCGGGCTACCTGAAGCTGTCGCGTCTGCACAACACGCTCAACAGCATCAAGGTAAGCAGATTACATATGTGATCATTATTATTTAAAATATTGCAGACGGGCTACCTCGCGTACCCGGCGCTCGCGTTCAAGGCGGGGAAGGTGTCCCAGAATGGCGGCGACTTCGTCCTCGGCCCGGGCGTCAGCTGTGCGTTTGTGCACCGCATGCAGAACACGGAGGACCGTGAGTGCCTGCCCCGGCCCTGTCCAATCACTGGCTGAGTTTTTCTAGATGTGGAAGTCGTGGATCTAATGAAGGCGGCCGGCGTTGAGTATGCGCCTTGAGTAGCGCTCTTGTCGTAGTCCTGTTTGCAATCATATGTCCTCGGTCTGCCCGCCGGCGCCGGCCCGGCCCCCGGGTCCCCTCGCGAACATCAGCGCGCCGCCCCGGCGCGGCCACGACCTGGCTCATTCGCGGGGACGCAGAGCAGCCCACGAAGGATCGTTATTCTATCAACCACCGCCACCTCGGGCCGCCGGCCCGGCCCCATCCATTTTCCGGCACTGAGCGTAGAAGGGCTCGTTGTTGCCAATTGTTTGCATTCGCATTCGCGCGCCTGGTTCAGTGGCAACAGTGAGCGCGCGAACACCAGCAACAAGTTCAGTCACTTACTGATTTGTTTTAGATTCACGCTCGCCTGGCTGAGCCGCAACCGGTGAGCACGAACAGCAACAACGAGTTAGTATACTTACTCATTTGTTTAAAAGGCTTTCAATGCCGGCTATGAACGACGAGGGAGACCTTGCAAGCTCGTTTGCGCACACTTGTTTGAGCTGTAAAGGTGTGCGCAAACAGCACAAGCAACTCCAATGAATTGCTTCGCTTCGGGCTTGAGTTGAGGTATGTTAGAGCTGCAAATCAAGTCAGTAAGTGGATATGACGCTGCAAATAGAACTGACCAACGTGTCGGTCAACAGAATGCGGGAATTCAAGTTTGCGCAGACGCGCCGCCGCCCGACCTGGAAGTGAAGATATGAAGACTTACTGTGCTGCTTGCGGGCTCGGTGCGGGACGAAACGAGGACAACTCCGACAAGCACGCTGTATTCATCTGACAACGAGGTAAGCAACATTGAATCCAAGTCAACGACAACTTACCTTCAGTTTCATGTGCCAGTGAGGAGATTGGACGACGAGTCAGTAAACTGAAGTACTTGTTGTATTTGGTAGAAGTTGAATAAATATCGCTCACCTTCTTTGCGCGTGCCGTCACATGCTCGTGACTCGCATCGCTTCTTCTTGTCCCTCATGCTCGTGCAGGCGGCCTCTTTGACCACGACAGGCTTCCGCGCGCCTCAAACATCAGCTAGCGGTGGAGATGGAGGAGAACGGGAAACTGTGGGGAGATAGGAGAGAAATGGCGACAAGGGCTGCCGGGCCCGGGCCGGGGTATCCAAGCGGTGAGTCCGGCCCAGTTGACTGCTTCTTCCAAGCCACACCCAGCGTTCAGCGGCGACCTGGCCCGGCTGACCGCACCCTCTCCAGCCCAAACGGCAGCTTTTAACCACCACGCCGGCGCCTACTCGGCTTCCCCTTCCTCTCTGGCAACTCACGACAAAGTACTGACTACGGCCTGGGCCGGCATGGTGCAGGACTTCCCGGTTTTCCCGGTCGCCTCCAAAACTGGCCAAGCGGCTAGGGCCGGCGCGTCTTTCGCGGCAACAGCAGCAGCAACTCGGGACAGACAACGTGTTAACGCCAACCCATGCCCCAGCGTCCTCCTTGTCATTAACAACGGCTGTGTCGACTGCCAACGCTCGCAACAACGACTAACTGGTCAAATCAGTCATCAAGACGGGATACGAGCAAAATGCTTACATGAACGGCAAGAATGCGGGCGGCTGCAGGCAGCGCAGTCTTGGGCAGCGACGGCAACGCTGCTCTGCGACTAGCGTTAGTGTATCTGAATGGGGAAAATGGGTGCATGACTCACGTTTGCGAGCGGTAGGCGGGACGATGGAACCGGCTGGCGTGTTTTGAGCGGCAGAAACTTGAATGCAGCAAGGCCCAGCAAGGCCAAAGCAAAGCACAACTCGCGCGCTCACTGTTTCCCCGCCAACGACCATGGGACTTTGTTCCCTGCTGCCAACGACAACGAACTCGCCGAGAACGACATGTTCGACAAACGCAGCGCGCGCCAACGACACCAATGCTAGGCCAATTAGTTGGCGCTGTTTTTGCAACACCGGGCTTTTGCACCGGAAGCAATACCGACTGTATACAGGTCAGTTTAGTGTCGTTTAGTTGGAGAATATAGACTGACTGTTTTGATAAGGCATACTTGCGCGTTCCGGACGCTCGCCTGGTTGAGCAACAACGGTGAGCACGAACAGCAACAACGAGTTGGCATACTTACTTATTTGTTTCAAAGGCTCTCGATGTCGGCTATTGACGGCGACGAGAGATCTTGCGAGCTCATTTGCGCTCACTTATTTGAGCTGTAAAGGTGAGCGCAAACAGTACAACCAAGTCGCTTGCGGGCCTGAGCTGAGGTATGTTAGATCTGCAAATGGAGTCAGTATAACGCTGCAAATACAACTGAACAACGTGCAAGTCAACTCTGAATGCGGGAACACCGCAGCCGACCTGGAAGTGAAGGCAAGGTAAACCAGACTTATATGAATTGAAGAACAACATGCTTACTAGCATGTAGTGTTGCTTGCGGGCCTGGTGTGGAACGAAACGAGGCTAGCGCAGACAACTCCGACAAGCGCAGAGTATAACACTGTATTCATCTGGCAACGAGGTAAGCGAGATTGAATCCAAGTCAACGATGACTTACCTTCAGGTTTATTTGTTAGTTAGGATGGAGGAAATGGATTGGATGACAAGTCAGTAAATCCGCCTTGTTGAATAGACATCAGTACATGTTGTATGGAATAATATCGCTCACCTTCTTTTCGCGTGTCGTCACACACTCGTGACTCGCTTCTTCTTGCCCCTCATCCCGATCTTCTGCACTCGACAGCCTTCCACAAGCGGTGTGCCCGCCTCGAACGTCGTGTAGGGGTGGAGATGGAGGAGAACGGGAAACTTGTGGGTGGGAGAGAAATGGCGTGGCGACAAGGGCTGCCGGGGCCAAGCGGTGAGTCTGGCCCGGTTCGAACCAATTGGCTGCTTCTCTCGAGCGATGCCCAGCGCTCAGCGGCGACCTAGCCAGGCTAACCGCACCCTTTCCGGCCCAAACGGCAACGCCAAACCACCACTCCTTCAAATCTTATGCCGGCGGCTTACTTTCTGACTCTGGCAACTCACGGCGAACTACCGACTACTGGCTGGACGGGCGTGCTGCTCGACCCCTCGCAAATCGTATGGCCGCGCCGGCCGGGCGCGCGCCTGCCTCGCCTCCAAAGCTGGTCGGCACGCCTTTTGAGGCAAACTCGCCGTCCCCCAGCTTTTCCCTTGTTTTCTGACCACGACTGGGTCGACTGTCAACACCAGCGATCTTCTCGCGCAACGACGACAAACTAGGATATCAGTCAATCATCAAGACGGGAATACGAGGGCCTATTACCCAACTCGAGTTTGGTTTCGAATAACGCCCACGCGACACATTCCGCTATGAGCAGTGCCGAGTCGGCCTCTAAAACCGTGCGGCTCGGCACGCTTTTCAGCTGAGGCGGCGAACTCGCTGCTCGGAAGCTGCCGAGCTCACCCTGACTTACAGAGCGCTCGAGTTTGTGGGGAAGGCGGGCCTAAAACGGTCAGTTATGCCTTTATTTTACAAGGAAACTCACCATTAAGCAGTTCGGTCGCCGAATATGGAAGAAACTAGTGATTGGCTGGAAAAAGTGAGCCGAGTGTCTCGTTTTTGCCAATAAACTTACCATTAAACAGCTCAAATTTGGCCTCCGCGATCACAACTCCCGCGCTTGGCCTCTTCAACTGCCGAGCGAGCCCCCGACTGGCTGTCGAAATATAACTCGGTTGATAACAAGTTCTTCGCCCACGACATGCTTGTCGTCAACAACTGGGAGGAATCGCGTGCGAGCCCAACGTCAGCTACAACAAGGTGAGTTGTTATTTGACATCTATTTGGGGGAAGTTTGACAAAGACCAAGACCGCAGCAGCCACGAGCTCGCCCAAGCGACCGTTCCGCAACGCAGACAGGGTGCGCTGGAGGCAAGCCGGCAGGAGCGACGCGTCAGTGGTGAAGCCGCTGACACCACTACAATTTCGGCCAACGCGCCGAACCAAGCGGCCTCGCTGGTGAGTTGCAGGGAAAACTAACCAAGATGTCAAATCCCCCCGAATTGAACGCAACGACTCACCAAGATGATCAGAAACATCAAAAATTACTCGCACCCTCGTCTCTCTTGCTCAGCCCTTCCAACGGCAGTCATAAAACTTTCGGCAGCAAGCGCAATATGACTATGAGCCTGTCAGTTTTGTTTCCCCAACCCAGGAAACAACACAACTCACCGATCTCAGAGGACGCTGAAATCCTCTCCCGAGCTCGCGACTGGCTTGGCGCTGTAACGACAACGACGGGTCATTGGCCCCAAATCTTGTGGATAAGGTGAGATTGCGGATTGCATCAGAATGGATGATAACTACCGCGACAGCGCCTGTCACGATAGACGACGACGAGCGCACAGGCTTCAAGCTGGGAGACATGGTCAGTATCCAAATCAAGTGCCCGAATGGAAATCTGACCTCAATGCGGAGTGTTTGCAACGATGGCGCGGCAATTCCATCGACGGCTGGAATGGTGTTGACATTGAGAGTGAGCAGCGTAGCGACGAGCAATGGACGACGAGCAAGTGTGTAGAATGAGTTGTAGATTGATAGACGACAATAATGAAAGAACGTTAAGCCAATGTCGATGCGAGGGCAGGGGCAGCAGTGGGGTTGCAAGGGGAAGGATGGAGGGAGAGGGAAAGAAGGAGTGCTGTGTTGTTCGACACAAGCCAGGTCTTATATAGGCAGGATAAGCGAGGCGGCGCACTTGTAAGCATGTTCACGTCGCGACGGAATCAACAAACAAAAAGTTCACATGAAAATTTCCAGCTGTCAAGTGACGTTACTGCGGGCAAGCACACCGCCGAACAGTTTGTTGAGATGCAAATACGCGATTTCGCGTATTTCCCGTTCAAGCAAATTGTGCTGGCGGCCGCGGTCTGGCCATCCGATCCTCGCGGGCATGCGTTTGGGGCCATCATTCCTATCATGTGTGCTTGCCTCTGTGGTAATCAGAGCAAATTCGACTCCAGCAGAGAGTTATCTTGTTTCTCATTTACAAGAGGAAAGGAGTGAGTTGGATGCAAGGGATAGCTGCGATGAA